AAAAAAAAAAAGGAATTCATCCCAATTATAAAGTAATATGTGGAAAAGTTAATTTTTTATAATCATCTTAAAATTCTTCCTCTGAGGCCGGGGATTTAGCTCAGTAGTTCTGGTGCCTCGCAAGTGCAAGGGTCTGAGTTCGATCCCCAGTTTTTTTTTTTAAAAAAAAAAACTTCCTTCTGTAAACTCACTTTGCTTATCAAAATGGGGTTGTGTGGATTTTTTTTAAAAAGGAAACTGTAAGTCTTTTGCTTACAATGTGGTCATTCTTATGATTTCTTTTCTGCTAAAGCTTCTTGTGTGTTTTTTGACCTGAGGCAGAGCCTAAACTATCCAGCTGCAGGTCCCTGTTCAGTTTTCCCCAAAGGATCTGAAATAACCCAACAGGTTACTTCCCAAAAGGGGTGAAGGGTAGGAGGAAAGGAGGGAGAAAGGGAGGAACAGAACAGAACAGAACCGACATCTCTCAAGATTTGGAGGCAGGAGTATCACAGTTCTCCCCTCCCTTCAAGGTGGGACGGACATGGCAAGCTGCTTGCTGAAATGGCCATTTTATCTACAATGTAAATGACAACAACAAAAAATCCCAACAAATACACTAAAAAAAAAAGGAAATAAAATAAGAACCAAGGGTGGGCCAGGACTTCTGAAGCGTTCACCTGTTACTTCCTTATACAACTGGTGGTCTTCATGTGTGTTCACTTTGGGACAAAATATAATGTTATCACTTATACACTTTTCTGAACCTATGTTATACTTCACTATAATGAAAGTTATAGAAAAATATGGAAAGTAGGAACATGCAGAACAAAACAGCTCTAATTAGTTACTTGCTTATTTTCTATGGGTTTTTATTTATTTATTTTTTGTGCCGGAGATCCAACTCAGGTCCTTGCACTTGTGAGGCAGTCACCAGAACCACTGAGCTAAATCCCCGGCCCTACTTGCTTATTCTTATAGATAAATGGATAATAAATTTAAATATCTGGAGATATTTTAAAAACAATCAGATTTCACATTAGTGTTCTGGAATCAGCAACTTCACACACTGGTGTTTGTATGTCACAGGCCCATTGATCTAAAAAGTAATTAGCCCCAGAAAGGAAATGTGAGTGTTTTAAACAATAGTCATTCCCCTAGCAAATGACACAGTGCAAGGTACACAGAAATGAGGCAACAGCTAGAGCCCTGGCAAACAGAACCAAGGCAAGTCTGCTCTGCTTCTTTTGCTTTTGCAGAGCAAATGGAACAGAAGTGTTGAGATGGTGTCTACCTCTTCTCCAGATGACACAAGGCCAAGTCAAAGAGAAAAGGACTTGTGGGTCAGATTCAGAACTGGAGTTGATGCTGTTTTTTGTCCCAAGGAAAAGCAATTGCATGGCAGTGACAATCCCACCTTTTATTTTCCTTGAAGGCTACTTAGCTAATTAATGGTTTTCAACCCTGGACATACTTTAGCAACTCTTGGGAAGATTTTAAAACATTATGATTCAATGGGTCTAGGTTGGGGAATGCATATACATATATTTTTTTATTTTTTAAATTTCACTTAACTGGTTCAACATGAACCCAGGGTTGAACACTGTGAGCGATTACTGGATCTTACCCCACTTTCTTTTCTTCCCCTACTCTCAATACTTTCTTATACCTACGTAATAAAATTCTAACTACTTTAATTCACAGGACTCTTCATTTTCTTAGTATTAATAACTAGCACCTCTTCATATAATGTAAGTAAGCCTGAGAAGCTTGATTGTATTCCTCAAGAAAATCAACAATGGTATCTAAGATTGAAGACTGGCAAAATAGAAAGAAAAAAAAAGAAATTAAGATGTAAGCAGATGATATTACAAGGAATGAACATCAAACTCTTGCCAAGCTAATTTTGATTGTGAAAATAATCCCACAGTTAGCAACATAAGTGATCTTCAATATGAACAATCAAAGCTACCTCTCCCTTAATACTATCCCCTATTTGCTTGGTAAACAAATTCTGAGAAAGATAATGGGCTTTTCAAAGGAGCAGGGGTGCATTTCAATACTTAGGCTTTTTCCAAACACTACAATCTTAGATATAATGTGTCAGTTACACTGTATCCTAACAACATCTCTCACAAAAGGAGAATATGTGATGCCAAGCAGGGCCCTAGGCTGGTGTTCAAACAAGTCATGAGGGAGCCTCATTTAGGGGAACATACTCAAAGAAATTTTACATGAGAAAAGTGTGGACTGTAACACATTTTATATGCTACTAAAGGGAGGCAGGCAGGAGGCAGTTTTTGCTCCAAAGTTTCATGAAACTCACTTGTTTTTCACCCCTGAAGCTTCAGTGTAACCATGACTCCATACAGCTGGGGCTCCAGATGCATCTCCTGCTGAAGGTTGATCAATCTTGAAGCAGCGGATGTTACTAACAAGAACATAAGGAATAGGAATCATTAAAACCAAACACATGTGAATTGCTACCTTTATCTGAGAAAATACTTGCTAAGTACTCTGTATTGACCATTTCTTATTATATTTACTGTGTCTGAAGTATCAGCCAAAAGAACCAGTTATTCATCATGATAAAAACCAAGGCACATAAATACACAGCATGATAATCCTTCTCATGACTACTATAAAGCAACTGTAAGAGAGTGTCACAGTCCACACTAGAGTGGCTTTCTCCTGGGAATGAAAAGGACAGTTTTTTAGCCATGGCATGAAAACCAAAATGTAAGTATTAGGTTGGGTGTACTCAGCATGGATGCTCAGACTTAAGAACAAATTATATTGTGGTTAGATGAGGTGAGAATATTCTGAAATATTCATATCCAAATTCAGCTTCTGGCTTTACTATCCTTTCAAATATCTAACAAATACTATTGAGAACTTGCTAGACCTTGGAAAATGCAATTCTTTCCTCACTTGTATAAGCTAAGAATATTAACGTGAAATAAAACATACATGCAAAACTACAAAGCACATGGGGGCATTTTAATAAAGTACAAGTCAACTACATGTGTTTCACTGAGAGATTTAGTTCTTATCTGCCTGCCGCTCTCAAACTGGTCCGTCAGATCCCTAAATAAAAATAGGGAAAAAGGTGAACTCTCTAATAGGATTTCTTAAAAATATGCCTACTAGAAAAAAAGCATTCAGTGTCCCCAATAGGAACTCAGAAAAGATGTGAAGTAATCTGTAGAAGGAATGTATAACACATGGGAAAGTAAATCCTGCTTACCTGTAAATTACTATAGCTGCACATTATTTAAACAGGAGTAAAACTATGCATTATCACTTGACTTAAACACCTAAATATTGTGTTATGACTCCAACAATTTAAATTATCTACTGGCATTAACTTCTAAATTTAACCAATATGGAATATTCTTCCTAAGAATCAATTAAAATGTTAAGGTGTAAACTGATATTTAACTAGTATTCACTTTGTAGAAGTAGCTACTGGCAATTTCTATGAAATTTAAAATATTTGGTGGAAGAAAAAAGTTTCTATTCTTAATTACTAACAAATATTCATTCCCTCATTCTAAAAAGCTAAATACATATACTATTAATCACAGATGTTCAATAGAAAATCCCCAAATCAAATTAATAGGTAGTTTTACAGTAGGGCTATAAATCCTCTTCTGAAAGTTTTCAATCCTATCAGTAAGAGAGGCATTAAAAATGTAAGTCTTTCATTATTCGCTCTCTGTATAAACTGGCACTAAATTTTATCCATCTAGAATGGTGGGCAAAACAAGGATTTCCTGAGGCACCTTAAGGCTTGTACTACATCTCTGCTACCTTCCTGAATTCTGAGGAAACATGAAGGCTTATTTCTAAAGATGGTCATTTCTACAAAACACAGTCTTCAAAGGAATCCATTTCATAACCCGATGGCTAAAGGAAAAATATCTACAAGTTTCCTACTGGACTCACTAAACCTTTGTAGCGAAGGAGCAGTTTCTCCTTATCTGCCTAGCTGAACACAGCAAGCCTGAGCAGCCATGTGAAGGGATCTGCAGTTGGCTTCTGGACAGCTTCAAGTAAATCTCAGTCTGGGAGCAGGAGAGCTCAGTCCCACAAGAGTTCCACTGCCTGCCTCACAAGGCCAAGGACCTGTTTGATCCCTGGGTACCAAAAAAAAGAGCCTATGCCCTTCTGGATGTTAAACAGAAGTTAACATTTTCAGTATTGTGATTCATTGTTACTAATTTTCTTTTACTCGGAGAGCACAATGCCTTTGGCACAGTTTAGCCACTCTAGTAATGCCTTCTTATTGTTAAGACTTTTACAGATTTTTGTTTTTGGTGGTCTTCTCTCCCTCTGTGTGTATATGTATACACACACGGTTTCACATTTTTCCCAATTATGCCATGAATATTTTCTCAAGTTGCTTTATATTCATTCTAAACATGAATGAAAATATTTTGGTGACTATAATGCTTAAAATGAACACTATACCTCTGGTCACTTTTTAAAACAAATTATTACTCTAGAGAACCTTGGTCAAATTAGTTTGAATATTTTTAAAAGGTTGATAGTGGGCCACAGAGTCTTGCTATGCAGGCTGGCCCATAACTTAAGGCAATTCTTCTGCTTCAGCCTCCGAGTGCTAGGATTACAGGTGTGTACCACATACCTGACTGCTGGACAGTTGCTTTTTAAAAATGCTTCAACCATTTATACTCCTCTAGCAGCACCAATATGAGAGGGGGAAATGTTAATCTAAATAACATTTAATTATTTTATTGACATACTAATCAATTTGAACATCTTTTCAAGTAACTATTTCGACTTTTTTTGTTAAATCTTAATGTCCTTGGCTCCTTTTCTGTTTGAGTAAGTACATATGTTACTGAGTTATAAATAAGAGCATTTTAAGAATATTAATATTAATTTTTCTTTTCTTTTGTCAATGATTTTTCCTAGTTTGTAATTTGCCTTTTAGATTTACTCTCGGCAGTATTGTGAAATAGATATTTGAATATTGACATTAAAATTTATGCATAAAAGGGCTGGAGATTTAGCTCAGCAGCACTGTGCCTGCCTTGCAAGTGCGAGGTCCAGAGTTTGACCCGGTACCAAAAAACCCCCACAAAAATTTATGTATAAATATATACAACATCAATATTAAAACCAATCTACTTATACTGATTTCTTTTGAGACTCTCTCCCAGCTTTTTTTTTTTTTACCTACAAAGCCCCTCTCTAACTTGTGAATATAAGATTTCTTTTTACTTCTAAAAATGACTTCATTTCAGAGATTTAACTCAATACAGCCAGAATTTACTTTTATGTGAAACAAGAATACTTTTTTTCTAGTTTAATTAACAAATTTTAATAAAATTGCCTTTTAAAAATTGCCTTTTAATATGAAAATTTCTTATATTTGTAAAAAGTACTCAAGAAGATAGAACTATACTTTAATAATTCATGTACTCTCAGACTTTAAAAAGTCCCTTAAGAGATCACGCAGGCTGTCATTTCCATCTCACAGGTGATGAGACAAATGAGGTCTGGACAGAATGAGGGATTAAGGCTATGGTTTCACATAGTTGATGAACAGTAGAGAGAACCTAGGTGCCCATGTCTTCCCCAGAATAGTCTGCTTAGGCAATGTTCTTCTACTGTATATGAAAATCAGTTTTTCTGTCAAGTACTTGAAATGTCAACAAACAAGTATTGATTACACCAGTTCTAATCAGGAGCACTTAAGCACTTAAAGTGCTCTCACCAAAGACAGAATTATGGACCATACACAAAATTCTACTTTTCAGTTTTTTGCTAAGGAAAGGTGACTTTTAGTAACACATACTCCAACACTACATAAGCATATATGGCAAACACAATGACTAATGTGAGTCAGTGTTCAAGACTGCTACCTTAATACACACTAAAACACTGAGCGTATTCTTTATCAGTACTATCAAGGATGAAGCAGTCTCAATGAGCTCTTTCCTAAAACATGAAGAGAACTTTAACAGGATCTAACTATACCACATTCCCAGTCTTGTTAACTTTCCTCATATCATCCATCTCTTTCAAAATCTTTCCTCCTTAACTTATGTGTTAAGTGCCATATATCAGTAACTACTGAGATTTATGTAAACCAAATTTATAACTTGGTTGCTCCATGTTCTCCTGTGTATTCTGTATCCTATTAAGTGTATACATATGGCTAATACAGAAAGTCAACAGATACTTCTTTTATGTTTCACATTTTCACTAAGTTATAAATCCCATTGCCAGCCAACAATGACAATAAACAGCTTAAACAAATACTTACTTCAGCAGTTCCAGTGTTTTGTGGTCAAGGGCAAGGCGGGGATTTCCAGTCAGGTCGAGTTCTTGCAATTTGGGCGGCAGGTTTTCTGGCAAAGTGACTTCACTTAGCTCATTACAACTCAGGTCCACACACTGATGGAATAAGCAGAAACAAGAGATGGTCTAGAGCAGTGACTTACTGCTACTGCCTGCAGGCTAATTAGTCTGATCATCACTGGTCAAATGCAGAAAAAGCAGTCATTTGCTACTCTGCCATAAATATTTAAGATTTTGCTAAATAAAAATTTTTTTACTTTCTTTGATAACAGAAAAACTTCTCTTAATTATTTAAAATTTCTACATTTAAAATTAAATATTAGCTGAAAAATCCTGAGGATAGGAATGGTTCTTATTGTTTACAAAATCTGTGTCTAATATAGCCAAGAGGGCTACAGTTCCAACTCTGAAGTGAACTTTGCACAGCCTTAACATAAAAAAATAACAAAAGTAAAATGAGGAAAAGGTAGGGAACACACTGAAAATGAAGCTAAATAAGAAACTGGCAAAACATAAATCAGAATTATTTTTTCCCATATTAGTCTTACTGATATACAGAAAAACTTTAAATAATAAATGTAGGTATAATTTCAGTATACTTCATCTTTTATCATTTATTGCAATCATTTCCCCTATCTTCATTCCCATCTGCTGTGGCCTGTTTGTTTCTCTCTGAAATTCATATACTGAAATCTAATCTTCAGTGTGATATTTTAAGAGGTTGGCCCTTTAGGAAGTGATCAGATCATAGGGGTCTGCCCTCACGAGTGTGATTAATGCTGTTATAAAGAAACCTGGGAGAGTTCATTCACTCCTCCTGCCATGTAAGTACACAGGGATGGCACTATTTATGAGGAATGTTTTCTGTTGGTTCTTTAATCTTGGACTTCTGAGCTCTTGACAGCATTACTCTGACAGCATCATAAGGTGGATCAGAGGGTGGCACCACAAAAAGAAAGTTAGGATGCAATTACAGTTATCCAGGGAAAATATAATGTGGGTCAGAACCAGGGTAATGGAACATACTTTGTTAAAAATGTATTTATTTATAAATTGATGTTGTTTAAAAATTATCTAGTCTAAGGTATTTGTTATCATAGCCCAAATGGCATAAGACATTATTATCTTTAGTAGACCCATACTGCTTCTAGTGTTACACAACCCCCCTAATAGAAGAGAAAGTTATACCCATTTTATAGCTATAAATAATGACTGCATAAAGAATCAACTAGGCTTTCATGGAATACTGGTTAAGAATGATAATACTGGTTAGTAATGGGCTGTGTTGCCAGCATCGTCAGTACAGATCAGCATAGTGAGACAACAAATGGGGGCCGAGGTGGGGGTCATGAAATACAACCTACTGATAACATGGAAAGTGACCTGAAGGACGATAGCAAGTATGGATAGTTTAGGAGATAGGGGTTGGGACAAACTAATTTAGGGGGCAGGGAATTCTTATGTTTTAAAATTAAAGACATTCCAGAGCAATACTGAATTTTATGAAGCTGATGCAAGTTTTTTCAGTGTTTTACTTATGTATTTTTAAATTTAAATGAATTTTATTGGTATATTTTAGTTATACAATATAATGACATTCAACATTGGAGATTAGTGCCCTTACATAATATATCTTATTTTTTTCCCATTGGGGAATGGGAACCCCTACACGCCTATTTACAAAGACTTTGTTTTCATTTTTTCATGTTAATTCCATTCCCTTCTTTCCTTTCCCCTTCCCTCCCACTTCCCCTCTTTGCATCTTTTTTTTCTACTTCACATTACCTATTATACATTCTGATCCTTATTTACACTTTTAGATTCTTAAACCAGAGAAACTACTCAGTATTTCTACATGTGTCCTATTTATTTAAGAGTATTGCCTCAATATGCATCCATTTAGCCATAAATCTCTCTAATTATTCATTCTTTGTGGCTGAGTAGTACTCCATTGTATTAAAAAAAACAAAACATTTTCTTTATCTAGTCTCCAGGTGATGGGCATCTGGGCTGGATCCAGGATTTAGCTATTACAAACTGTGCTGCTATGAATATGAACATGGGTAAACATACATCACTGTGGTATGATTCTTTTAATTCTTTTGGGAAGATTCCCAGCAGGGGAATAGCTGGGTCAAATGGGACCTCTAGTCTTAGTTCTCTGAGGTATCGCCATACTGATTTCCACAGTGCTTAACAGTCTACACTCCTAACAACAGTTGGAGAAGGGTTCCTTTTCCCCAAAAGCCCCACCAGCATTTGTTATTGGTTGACTCCTTGATAGCAGTCATTCTTTCTGGTGTGAGGTGGAATCTCAGCATTGTTTTCATCTGCATCTCTCAAATGACCAGGGATGTTGAACATTTTTTCCTACTTCTTTGTCTGAAAATGTCTGTTCATTTCAGATGCCCATTTTTGGATAAAGTTTTTAATGTTACCCAAAGATTTAAACTTTCAGAGTTCTGCAGGTATACAATGAATCTGGTAGGATATTTATTTTTAAGAGAGTAAGTTGTGATACAGATCTCAGAGACAGATGATGCTTCTACTATACCCCTCCTGCCCAGGCCTATCTGGCTTACAGGTTTCCTTAAATGAGTCTGATTCACTTTTGGCAACTTCCATCCATCCACCTCGTTCCAATATCATGGACCCTGGTTCTGACCCATATTACACTTCCCTTGGATGACTATTACTGTATCCTAACTTTGCTTTTGTCTTGCCACCCTCTGATTCACCTTATAATGCTGTCGGGATAATTTCTGGAATGTGGCTTATTCAAACAATCACACCTCAGCTTCAGTCTTTCAGTTGCCCCTCAATCTGCCCACCAAACTCAATAAACCCTTCAGCGCTAGCTTCCACCCATTATTTCCTCACATTCTGTTTTATCCATGTCTGAGCAACTACAGTTCCTACCCTGAGTTCTATTCTCAATTGTGTATGTCCTTGCACGTGCTACTCTGTGCCTAGAATTTAATCTTTCAAGCTCTTCTTGCGTTTTCCCCATTAATAAAATTTACTTATTCTGCTTCTCCAAGATGCAGAATCCAGACAATGGAAAATAAAACTTAGGGAAGAAGGAGGCAGGTGGATTCCTGGGACCCAGGAAGGATTGAAAGAAAAAGTGGAGGAAGCTCAGAGAAACTAGAGGGATAGAACACAATGTGGGAAAATGGGCAATGTGCATTTTCTTCCTGGCTCCTGGCTTGTTGGATCATAGTGCAATGAAAAATAGAAATCAACAGCAAAAAATATGCAAACACAAGGCAATTAAATTAGAATAAGCAATGGATCACAGATGAAATTAAAGAAGAAATTAAGACAGTTTCTATAATCAAACAATAATGCAGTCATAATGAAAGCAGTCCTAGTGGTGAACTTTCACATCAGAAAAACAGAGTGAGCTCAAGTAAATAATCTAATGATGTACTTCAAGGTCCTACAAAAACAAGACTAAATCAAACCCAAAGTAGAAAGAAAGCAATTATAAAGATCAGAGCAGAAATTAATGAAATACAGACAAAAAATACAGTACGAAGAATCAACAAATTTAAGGGTTGGTTCTTTGAAACATTAAACAAAATAGACAAACCCTTAGCCAATCTTACCAAAACAAGAAAAGATCCCAATCTTTGCAATTAGAAATGAAAAAGGTGAAATCACAAGGGATTCGATTCTGCTGAAATTCAGATTATCATACTCTGCGAACCTTACTCTAATAAAATGGAAAATTCAGAAGAAATGGATGAATTCCTAGATACGTATCAACTCCCAAAGCTGAAGCAAGAAGACATAAAACCCCCAATAATCCAGTATAATCAGTAAATATGAATAATAATAAAAATACTTCCAACTAAGAAAAGCCCAGGTATTGTCAGATTCACTGCCAAATTTTCAAGAGCTTTAGAGAAGATCTCACACCACTACTCCTCAAACTCTTTAATGAAATTGAAAGGGAAACAGTACTCTGAAAGTCATTTGTGGGAGTAGACATTACCCTGATTCTAAAATCAGAAAAAGATCCAACCACAAAAGAATGTAAGCCAATCTCTTTGATGAACACAGATGCATAAATCTTCAATAAGACAGTGGCAAACAGAATGCTTTAAATCAACAAAAAGATCATACACCATAACCAAGTAGGATTCATTTCAGGGATGTAGAGATGGTTCAAATCACGCAAATCAATAAATGTAATACACCTCATAAATAGAATAAGGACAGGAATCAAATGACCATCTCAATAGAAAGAAAAAAACATTTGACAAAATCCAACATCCACTCATGAAAAAGCCCTAAGGAAAATATGAATAAAAGGTATTTATTTCAATCTAATAAGAACCATCCATAACAAACCAACAGCCAACATCACACTAAACAAGAGAGAAGCTGAAAGCTTTTCCTCTAAAATCAGGAACAAGAATGTCTACTATCACCACTCCTGTTCAATACAGTTCACAAAACACTAGCTAGAGCAGTTAGAGAAAGAAATAAAAGGGATATATATAGAAAAGGAAGAAGTTAAATTATTGTTACTTGCAGCTGACATGATCTTCCACATAGAAGACCCCAAAACCTCCACCAAAAGACACCTAGAATAATTCAGTAGCATAGTAGGATACAAAGTCAGCATTTCTGTTCACTAATAACAAATTGAAGGAGAAAGAAATTAGGGAAACAATACCTTTTACAATAGCATCAAGAAAAATGAAATACTTAAGAATTAACCTAACCAAGAAAGTAAAAGATCTCTACAATGAAAACTATAGTACTCTGCAAAAGGAAATCAAAGAAGGTATTGGAAAATGAAAAGATATCCCCTACTTGTGGATAGACAGAACAAATAGTGTCATAATGGCCATACTTCCAAAACTGTTAGACAGACTTAACACAATCCCAATCAAAACACCAATAACATCCCTTACAGAGATAGAAAAAGCAATCCTAAAATTCATATGGAAACAGAGGAGGCCTAAAATAACAAAATCAACTCTTCACAGCAAGGGCAAGGCAGAGGAATCACGATCCCAAACAGACATCAAGTTATAGTACAAAGCTACAGTGATTAAAAATAGAATGGTGCTGGCAAAACA